TTGAGCGTCATCGTCTCTAACGTCACCGCTTTGTGCAGTTTTACCATTTTGAGACGTGATCGAGAAAATCAAACTGAATACAGACATTCACTTTACTATCCTGCAGTTTAATGGCTCTGCAGATGGAGCATTTTGGAAGAGATCAAAAGATAAAGAAGAGACAATTTGTCCATTTGCCTGAACACTGCAAGCAGCTCTGGGCTCCTTTATTTCACACTGATATGATGTTACACCTAAATGACTTGAATCTCCAACTTCAGGGCAAAAATCAGCTCGTTTCTGATCTTTTTTGTCTTCCAAACAGAGCTTTAGATTGCTCCTGGGCAGATTCAGTGTAATGAGTAGTGGCAGAATAAAGGGTGCTAAATAAAGCACAAAGATAGAGATGGACATCAAGAAGAAGTCAATATACTCTTTCCCCCTCCAGCCTTTGAAACATATTTTATGTGTGTCATCTATAAAGCACATACTCCTCCGGATCGAGAGGAGCCAGTGGAGGTGGTTCGGGCACCTGATAAGGATGGGAGGCTTCCTTTGGAACTCTACGAGGCACGTCCCACTGGAAGAAGGCCCTGAGGCTGACCCAGGATCAGGGCCGGCTCCAGCATTTCTGCTGCCCCAAGCAAAAAAAAAAAAAAAAAAGTGGCAGGTCCTTCGCTCCTAGAGGGAGTGAGGGACCTGCCACACTCCCAAATTGCCACAGGTGCCGCCCCTCTCCCTTAGCCGCCCCAAGCACCTGCTTGTTAAGCTGGTGCCTGGAGCTGGCTCTGCCCAGGATGTGCTGGAGGGATTATATCTCCAGCTGGCCTGGGGATGCTGGGGAATCCCCCAGGAGGAGCTGGAACCTGTTGTGGAGGAAAGGGAGGTCTGGTCCTCCCTACACTGCATGCTGCTGCCATGACCCTCACCAGGAAGAAGAATGCATAATAAATAAAGAACCATGTGCATTTATTGCTGATGAAATACTATGTAAATTCCTATGCAAATTAGAAGTAACCCTCAGCTCAGGTACATGCCTGGGACAGTCTTTGGTGTCTATAAAGATTGTGTTTGAGTGTTCTAAAGAAAATTTGCCCTCATTTGCTACATCATTACGATATTCCTAGTGACCCCCTTGAACTAAAGGCAGGAATGAAATTAAATGAAACAAAGTCAATTACAGATTTGCAATATCTTTAATGCCAAAAGTACAACAAGAACATAAACGTCCTTTACTAGTATGTACAAGTACCAGATCCCCCTCCCTGGACTGTGGGATTTTAGCAATTCCCAGCACATTGCTGCTGTCACTATGACTCTCTCTCTTTAAAATGTCAACAGTGCAGGGATTGCTCTTAAAACTGAAGTGTAATTAATACATGGGGCATTTTAAAAAATAGATTCAGTATGCATAATATACACGTGACAAAGTGAGAATATTCTGTAATATTTTATGAGTCCTATTTGTGCCTCAGTTTCCCCATATATGCTGCATTGTTCCCGGGTGGGAAGGAAAGGACTGTTTTCCCCTAGGCAGGCTAAGAGAGAGAGAGAGTGTGTGGGTGTTGCCTAGTTTTCTGGGCCTTAATCCCCATGTCAGTGGAGCATCTGAGAAGATAATGGCAAATCCAATCGCCACCTAGCAACCAATGACCCAGAGGAATAGGGACTTGCCTGCCTCTCCTTAGGGAAGCTGAACAACAATTCCCCAGCTCGAGGTCAAAGGACTGGGAAGGTGGGAGGTGGGTGATAAGAGTTAGCTGCTGGAAGGAATCAGGGATCTCACATGGAGTCTGACAAAGGAGGTCAGAAGACAGAGAAAGAGACAGAGCTTTGAACCAGAGGGTTCACTGAAGCTTGGCTAGGCTATGGACTATGCTTTAACCTTCATTTCTCTAGACTGCCCTAAGGACTTCCTATGCTGTGTTCCAGTTAACAAATAAACCCTTGTGAGTGTCACTGCGAATGCTTGGTGAGGTGCATTAATCTCTGAAGAGTCTCCATCAGGGTTCTGTCTCAGTTGGACTCGCTGAATGCAGCTTATGCTGTGAAGCAGGAGTGATGCAGGCCCAGAGGTCAAGTCTAAGGAGGCAGTGAAGCTGCATGACTTACCCTGGAGGAAAAGCAAGACCACGGGGGTCTGGCACACACCATTCCGAAGCTTGTTCTAGAGCACCAATCCTGTAGCTCTGTGACAACACACTATTTCAGATACATGAATTTCCATTGTTCTGCTGGGGTTAAATCCTGATAAAAAAATATAGGGGGATGGATTCATTTTGGGGACTGACTTTCCTGGGCTTTAGATCAGGCCCTAGATTAAGGGTTGCCAACCCTCCAGGATGGTATTGGAGTCTCCAGGAATTAAAGATTAATCTTTAATTAAAGATTATGTCATGTGATGAAACCTCCAGGAATACATCCAACCAAAATTGGCAACCCTACCTAAATGCCTTCCAGCCAACATTTTCCATCTTGTTTTTGTACTTTCGTGCTAACTGGAGATGTGTGCTTACCAGAGGAATACAAGTCTGTGTCAGTGTAGAGTAGGAAAAAAAATACATTTTCAAAGAATAGCTTCTACTTTAAAAAAAGTGTTCTATTAATATTTTAACACTAAACTGCGACACTGTAAAAAACATCTATGGAAACCTTGAACAGTGACATAAGAAATCCATTAAAATCCTAATTAAAGTGCATTTTGCATTACAGCAAGCCTTGGCAATGGAAGTAATCTACCAAATACTATTAAATGCATTTGAGAATTGGGAGGTAAATTTGTAGTCCTTAAAAAAAAATCAGGATATAATTTAATTCATGAGGTAAAGAAAATTAACAGCATTTGACTCACCCAGTATTTTAAGTTTGCCTGAAATTATGCATTAGTTATGGAAGCAGATGCTTACCACAATTATTATTTCTACTGTAATAGTGCACAAAGTCTCCAATCAGGCTTGGAGCCACCGTGTGCTCAGCACTGTACAAACATATGGAAAGACATGATCCCTTCCTTGAAGAGCTTACAGTGTAAGGCCCTGATTGTGCAAGCCTAAATAATATATTGGATTCAATGGGACTTCTCATATACAGAGACAAAGGGTGGGCAAAAGGGGTAAAACAGAAGTGATGCAGTCATCAGCGTGATTGTAAGAATTAATGAGACATGTGCCTTTTTAAAAAACTATATAAACTAGACCCAGTTACCCATCTATTAAGGTATTGTTAGTTCATTTTTTAAATGTATCTGCTTTCCTTCACCTGTTTTTAGAAAACAGATTCCAAACATTACACATCTGCCTTTTTGTTTATTTTTGGAGGTTTGACAGATTTTTTTTAATGGAAAAAATAGTAAATTTCCTTCCAATGCCAAAGTCTCCTCTCTCAAGACTCTGCTCAATGTCCATTGAGGCAGCAACTCTTCTCCTCTCTAAAGGTCCTTCATAAGCCTCCGTGTCAGCAGCAATGCCATTCCCTCCACATAATAGCCTGGGCATTCCTGATGTCCTAGGGAAACTCCCAGGATTATGACAGTGTGTTCTCGCTCCTCATCCTGCTTCTCTAGCAACCACCTGAGGCAATCACTGGCTTGCCAGGGGGTCTGGGCTTCAGCTCAGAGAGCTGGTGGGAATTCCTAGTGCACGTGGCTATCCTGGAGGAGGTTGGACATCTAAGGTCTATTTCTAAGATTCAGGAATGACTTAGAAAATGGCTCATACCTGAACTAGCACATCACAGTCACACATAGGCAAAAGAGAACAGTTTACATCGTTTAAGAAAGGGTTACTGTATCCTTGTGAAGAAATGTTACGAACAAGGAGATATTTAAGTACTCTGCCAGAGTCAACACTTGTTCCTAAATCTTAAGCCTTTGAAGATAGCAAGTTTGATCATAATTTTCCTCTGGCTATAAAAATCAATGCCCTTACGGGGTGGCAAGATAGCATGCCACATATCATGGCTAGAGAAGGATTTCTTTATTTCAAAACGTTCATCCTCTGAAGAGGGTAAAACAGATAACCTAGACAGTCAAATCTTTGACACAGCTGAGAAGGAATAGCTTCTAGAATGGTTTTGAATTCAGCAAATTACCCAGAGCCCAAGAAGAGAGCTGAAAAAGACATCAGCATGGTTTCATGACTGTGCTAACTTTAAGGCCTGCATTTTCAGAAGTTTCAGCGTGCATCCATAGACACTGGCACACAGGTTAAAATCTGCCTGTGCACTTATTAACCCATCAGGGTTTTTTTTCCCCAAAAAGTTGGAGTGTAAAAACATTTAATAATCAGAGAAAATGCAGCCAAAGGAAAAATGGGCAGGCCTCCTTTCACTTGCTTAGGTACCTGCCCAACTGACATAGCTGGCCATGACACAGTCATATTTGAAAACATGCAAATATGTCCCTGTGGAACTGCAAATTGTGCCTTTAAGTGGGTTTTCTTAACCAGCGGCGGCTCCAGGCACCAGCGCTCCCGTGGATTCAGCAGCAATTCGGCAGCGGGTATGCTGAAGCCGCGGGACCAGCGGACCTTCCGCAGGCATGCCACCAAATCCACAGGACCGGGGACCTCCCACAGGCAAAGGCCACCTGACTGCCATGCTTGGGGCGGCAAAAAAGCTAGAGCCGCCCCTGTTCTTAACAGACAGAAATCTAGAGGAGGGGTGCTGCAGAAGCCCCAGTCTGTTATGCAGAGGCTGTTGGTATTGTGTCACTGAATAAAGAGGAGCTCTTTCAAGCACATTGGGCTCAAAGTGATTACTGACCACCACACCCCAGATAACTTGAAATGGTGGAACAAGGGAAGAGGCCATAGACGTTTCAATTCAGAGCAGCTACGTTAGGTTATTAAATCCTATACTGTGGTGCTCTCGGGGGGTGTCACTCTGATGCTTTGGGATTCAACCCAGACCATTAAGAGGTTGTGTCACTTCCTGTCCTGAAGCTCTGAACACTTTAAATGCTCTGCTGCTGTGGCTCATAGCCTTGACACCAACAGCAAACAAGTGTGCAGGTCACATCCTGCCTTCAGCTGCCCAGTTACTTTATACAGGGAAACCCCAACACTCTCCGTCCCAAGTTTCCCCCAAACTGCCTGCCCTGTGGTGTCCAGCCCTCTTGCTGAACACTTACACAAGTTATAAAGTTTGCTGCTCCCCTTAAGAGACAGTGCCCAGCAGCTTATTACCTTAACTGGGGTTAGCACGCAATTTTTTTCAAAGCACTGAATTAACTTACAGTAAAAGAAGAACAAGCTTATTAAATAAAGAGTCACATTCTATCAAACTCTGATTTAACAAAGCAGAGTCTTTTGTTCAAGAAGAGTTTCTCACCAAGTTTCTTTTCCAGCATGGCTGGCCAGACGCTCTGGCCAGGATCCTTCACAGAACTCAAAGTGCTCAGGTCCTTTGTGTCCTCAGGTGAAGGATAATTGTGGGGTTCTCTCCCCTTCTTTTTATAGCCCTGTAAAAATGTATTATTTGAAAAATAAGCCCAAAGCTTCTTTCTTTGTTTATTTGATATGTAAAGTGACCTTCGTTGTCTCCACCTGAAGACCAGGCTGCTCAGACAAGCAAATACATATTCCTTTAGCTAGGGGAGACTGGCTTTATACATTGTTTGCCAAACACATCAAGAAAATAATTTCAGCACGTTTATAATTCTTTGTACATATCCCATATATACATCATGCAAGAATATTAATGATCAATTAGTTATTAGTTTTCTAATAATATATTACATGCCACCTTTTGGGTATATATCATGACAACAGTGTGTCAGATGTACTGAGTTTGTCAGGCTTGACAGAGGTTGCTGACACAGAATAGTGAACTGTCAATGGGCCTCTGTGTTACAGTCACCCAAGGTCTGACCAAGTAATAATTTCCAACCAATGTCTTATTTTCTGCTGCTTTCTACCGAGTGTTGTCCTTGGCACCTGTGCAAAGTTAGTGTAAAATGCCACCAACTCAGAATTGCTATGGTGATGAGGTCTATATAAGTACCTAGATTGATTCCAGGCACCTGAACAAATGGCTGAAAGGTCAAAACTATCTACTGTAGACCAGCCCCTATATTAGTTTCTGGGTTAACAGGGAACTGAGTAATGTTGCAAAAAAAACAAGAAGGTAGGATTAAATGAGGTAGGTAGATAAATTAATTAAGTGTGGATATCTTGGATTTGATATACTGTTGTCTTATTAAATAATGTATATTTGGGATTTGAACTGCTTTCTACTTTACTTTTCAGACTCTTTCTACAAATCCCAGCCTCAACTCTACTTCATGATGTAGCAACTTTTATACTGCCACCACAGAATATGGCACTCTAAAGGGGGCCCTCTAGCCAGTGAGGAGAGAGCATAATAGCTCAACATCCATCACCCTCCCAATTTCAGGAGCCTGTCAGGACAAGCTGGAAAGAAGGGGGTTCACTGGAACCAGAACTGGGGGGGGGAACCAAGGGACCATGCCCCCCATCCCGGCTTTTTAACATGGGTGTAGTTTGGAGGTGGTAGAGCAACACTGGGGAGAAGGGGCACAGGAGGAGGGTGCAGGGATTAGGGTAGAAGGGACACAGGAATCCACTTTGGCCTTGGCCCTCCCCACCCCACCTCTACAAAGGTTCCGGCACTCTTGAGGAAGTGTGGTCAAATAGCAGCATGCTCCAGCTATTCTGCACCAGCATAATGTGCTATGGTGGGGCTCTAAAAAGCCAGCACAATTTAGAATAGCCCCAGACATGGTACAGAATTAGGTTTGCTCATTTTGTGGGCCTCAGTATCTTTCAAAAGATATTGGGGTGGGTTTCCTGTTATGCTTTTTTTAACCATTACACAGTAATCTAGCTGAAAGAGTACATACATTTCAATACATCCTTTGGTTTTCTCCAGATGTTCTTCACACAGATGGCAATGTTTTATCTATTTTTATACGTGTATTTTACTTTGAGGGGGTAAGAAATTGTGACTAATACAGTAAAAAATATTTCTTTTGGTATGCAAAGTTGTTTTTAATCCTCTGATTGGTCTGGATGGTTACATGTCTTCTTAGAGCATTGTTTTTGCAGGCCTAATGGAGAAAATGTATGCATTTGGGCAAACTAATTGGATTCTAGCTGAGAAACAACATTTCTGAATACAATCAATAAAGATTTTTGTCATCTAATATTTTAAGTTTTGTATATTGTGCATACCGTAGGTCAGTGTACAATTATTAAAAGTTGATGGAATGCCTCTTGAATGCATTGGGATATCCTGGGATGACATGAAAGACGTTGCCTAGGAAACCAGAGATGAACCTCTGAGCATCTTTTAGGTGTTTTGAGATTATCAGACATTATAACACAAGAAGTTGTCATGGAAATGAAGTTCAATACATAGTTAGTGAATAGCCAAGTTAGACAATTACTGGAGATGGCAATGTCAAAATCAGTACAGAATTAAATAACCCTGAAAATTTTCAACCCAAAACTGTGTGGTGTTTTTCCCCCTATGCAAGAAGGATCACTGCATGGTAATAGATGTTTTAGGAAAACAGTCAATAGGTAAATTTCTTTTTAATCTGGATGATAATTTTCCTGCACCAAAATTCCTTGATTTACATCTGGAAACTTCTCAATAACCAGTACCCTGCTTCGATTATTTCAGGTTCTAAATATACTTCTGTTCTCTTATGTTGAGCACAATGTTTGGTGTGCGATATTTTTAAAACTCGATTTCTTGTCTTGATTGGTCTCTTCTATCTGCCAAGGTTTGTTTTGTTGTTATTGGGGTTTTGTTAATTCCCTGTCTCCCCCCGCCCCTTAATAATGTTTTTGTGTTGCAGTTATTTTAATCCCTGTAGCTCCTGTGGCACAGCATATTGATTGTTTCCCATCACCACCCTGCATAGGGATTTAGCATTTTATCTCCCTTTGAACGCCTCCATTTCTCTTTGCATCTTTTCCTCCCTCTTTATTAGGAATTATCTGTTTCTTAGGTTTACTCACACTGCTATGGGGCTCTGTAATAACTTGATACTTTTATAATTGTAGCTATCAACTTCAAAAAATCTGCAATCTCTCTTCTTCATAATTTAAATGAAGCCCTGGCATTGACACACTCAGGGAAGCTGGCTGACATAAATACCACAGCTGTAGGGGTACAGAGCACACATTAATTCTGTCAGAGACAAATAGGGTAACATTTCCACTTGGAAATTCTTTTCCCAAAGCTGCCCACGATTTACAATAATTGTGGTTTCCCAACAAACAAAATAAATTGATCTCTTCTTTAGCCCTCTAATATTTGTCTGCTAGCAAGTTTTCCTCTCAGATCAACTCTTTCAGAAAGACACAGTATACCAGTTTCCATAAAAATTGCTGATTGCTACCTTTTAGAACCAGCACTGTTATGTTAGTTGACAAATACAACAATTTACCAAAAAAATTAGTTATTTTCATCTGCCTACTAATACCAATAATTTTAATTCACTTATATTTAAAACTATACACTTTTCCTTTGACGCTCCAGGGCAAGACTCATCCCTGCACAGTGATGAAGGAGGTGCAGCTTACTATATAGAGGGCTGCAAGAGACCCTATAGGGCATTAATGGAATAAAGATTTTCCCTGACCATGCCTCCACCCCCACCACAGAACACTGCTGTGCTGCTGTAGAGGCAACTCAGAGCTGGTGGTGGAGCTCCACCTGCATCTCTTGGGGAGCCCAACTAGGCCATCTGGCCCCTTTGCCGTTACTGCGCCAGCTAAATTAATACAAGCTAGGCTGGTGCAAAGTGACCACAAAGCAGAGGTGAATTCCTTCCTCCCTGTATCCCACCTATCTGCTGCAGTCACAGCCTCCTGTCTATTCCCTCATCCTACCTTTCACTGATCTGAAGATGTGCTAATGTAAAACTGGTGTATTAAAGTAGAGAATCAGGTCCAAAGATTGCAAAGTGTTTTAACAAGACAGGGTGTGGTTCTCCAGCCTTGTGTATTCTTTTACACCTGTGTAAAATGCCTAGGAAATTAGTTGCAGCTTTCTACACCCTCCTCACAGTCACTTAGCACAGGTGTAAAAAAGGCTACTCAAGATGTAAGGCATCCCCAGTGTTGGCAACTCTGGTTATATTTAGTCTTTCCTCAGCTCCTGGAATCATGTTACTTCATAAGAATCTCAGCTTTCATTCCAAAAGTGGCTAGCCCCCATAGTTGCGGAGCAAAGTTTAAGAACATGACCCAACTGCATCCAGAAAGGAAAAAAAATACAAAATTTATTATTTTTTTAATATTCCATGATGTTGTAGGGGCCTGACTTAAGATTTTTTGAATGGTTGGGTTTGACAATTTTGAAAATCAGGCCTATAAATGTTGCACAATTTTGGCATGAATGTATGCACTTGAACAAAACATTTGACTTCTTTTTGCCTCGTTCATCCCAGCAGAAAAAATGAATAAAATGAGGACAATACTGAGTATCTGATGCCATACCTGAGCTGTGTAGGCTAAAATAAGCTAGGGGGAAAAAATCATTCATTGTCATTCCAATGCCATGGTTAAGACAACCTTGTCATCTTGAATGTATTTTGCAACTTGCATAATTCTGTAATTGCACAGCTTTGTGTTGAGCATAATAGAACAACCTTGAATCATGATGTCTGACAACACAGTCAATTAACTATTTACATGTGGACAAATGCTTGACTATATTCTATTGCCTCTTGATGTACCTTAAGCTCCTTTCGCACATTGCATTCAATGAATTCAAGGCTGTTGATTGTTCCAATGCATACATGAAGTTAAAGTCCTTTTGAAGAAGGGCACTTGCCTCTTATGCATCAACATTTTCAAACTCTCTGCCCCTAGATACTGTGGAGCTTTACTTTTAACTTTTACTTTTAACATCACATTTAAAGCTAAGAAGTTGGGGGGTTTTAAATGTTAAATTTGAGTTTGAAACACTGAAGAAGGGCAGCAAACGGGTGTTCAGGATTCAAGGGAGGTTCAGTCATAGTCAGACAGAGACACATAAGCCTATGGATGAAAAAGGTTCAAATGGTTCTGTTTGCTTTTACATCAGAACTGTTGGATCTTCTTTGGTTTTGCTTGCATCCTTACTAATGTCCATTGTGAGCTTTCCATCCCCTTTAATTAAGGTCTCAAGATGTGCGGAATCTTAAACAAAATGAGTCCTTCTCTGCAGGGTTTCTCAGATGTTAAAAAAAAATGGGGGTTAACAAAAAGCAAAAGGTCCAGTTGGGAAAACTTTAGTCACACTGGTGGTAAGCACTTACACAAGCAAATAGTCCTAATGACATCAATGAAACTACTTACATGAGTAGGTGTTCATCAATGTGAGTGGGGGGTGAGGGATAGCTTAGTGGTTTGAGCATTAGCCTGCTAAACCCAGGGTTGTGAGTTCAATCCTTGAAGGGGCCACTTAGGGATCTGGGGCAAAATCAGTACTTGGTCCTGCTAGTGAAGGCAGGGGGCTGGACTCAATGACCTTTTGAGGTCCCTTCCAGTTCTAGGAGATGGGATATCTCCATTAATTATTTTATTTATTATTTAAAAGTTGCACAGCTTGGCCAAAGAGTTCTTAACACTCTGTATAAAAACCACTTGCCCTCTTAGTTATTAAGGCTTCAATTCCTTGGTACTCATAATGTAATTGTGCTACCAGTTTCCAGTCATCACTATAGAGACTTTTAGGATAGATCAGACCTGATTTTCTTTATAAAAAGAATGGGGGGACCCTTTAATAATAGGAAAATGGTTAGTCCTTCCTCATGCATCACACAGAGACCAAAAAGGATACACCCCGTTTCTTTCATATCTGTGGGTTACCTTGAGCCCAGGGTTTGAGGCGCACAGGGTCCGTACACTGGGGTGAATTTCACCTTTAGGTTGTCTCTATTTCAGCTTGCAAAGCCTAAATAAGGAGTGGTGTTGAGGAAATTGAATCCACCTATTCATAGAATAGCTAAAGAGCTGCCAGTTGGGTCTCAGATTAATCAGCACAGTCTTTAGCTGAGAACCAGGTTTGGGGTTTGTTTGTTTTTTAAATAAAATTCAAAGCATAATCCAAAGACACACACAGCTGCTTCTGCAACTTGAAAAATAAGCAAAGAAAACAATGCATGATCAGTTCCCCCATTCTCCACCCACCCTAAGGATACGATACATTCCATACCATACCAGTGAGCAGTGCAGAATGCACATTCATGTACTTTGTAATAATCAAAACAGACATTAAAATCATTTTGCTGTTAGTGTTCAAATGGTTGCTTGCAGTAATGTGGAGGAGTTGTCTGTGTGCAATCTGAATTTCAGAGTGAAATGAAAAGTCTCTAAGATGATTGATGTCTTGGTGACCTTTTCATAAGGATTCATTCTTGAGAACAGATTAATAGGACCAAAGCCTGTCTTCACTGCCCTTTGCAGGGACGTGGAATGCCTAAAAGGCAGCAGAATCACCAAGGTTCCAAAGAATGAGGAAGCCCAATAGGAAGATTCTATATGTCCCTGAACACCTGGGTCCACCACACAGGGCAGAGGCTGTCTGCACCTGCATGCAGGAAAGTTAGAAACAGGGTGAGATGATGGAGTGGACACAGTAACACTACTCCAATGGTCCTAGCTGCCAGAACTTCTACTTGGGTGCGGGGGGAGTTCCCCTGCACAAGCATCCCATGGTTAGACTGTCATGAAAAACCACTGAGAGACTACTCATAATCAAATGAAATAGTTTTAATTGTTATTGCACAGGATTTTTCAAGTGTCACAGAGATCTACTAATTTCTACTAGATTAACATCACAGCTAGAGCAAATACTACAAACAAAAATTGCAGCTATTCATTTGAATTTTTAATCCAATTTGCTTTATCTTTGTTTGTATTTGTCATAGGGTAAGATGTCCCTTTAAGGTTTAGGGCTCAGCTTTACTTGTAACAGGTTTGGTGCCAGCCTCCCCAGGTGAAGGGAATGGCACCAAGGGTCATGTGTTGATAGCAGGTGATTAGAATCCAGGCTTGCAGGAGACTATAAGTGCGGCCTGTATTCCACTAGTGAGTTTGGGGGTAGGGGCTTAGTAATAGCTCCTTAGAGTTGCCAAGCTGGGAAGGAGACTTGTAAGGAAACCTCTTGAGTGACAAGCTGTAGGTGAATAGCCTGCAGGGTGAGAAACTACAGGGGGGGGGCTCTAAAGGACCATACACCTGGAGGGAGGACTATAACAAAGGGGAAGCCTTTGTAAAAAACTGACAAGTTTTTGGAACCTAGGGGAAAGGCTATATGAATGCTGAAGACAGTCCTTTCAATTTATAACAGACTGAGTGAGGGGCAGAGATTTGGAAGGATCTGAGTGTTCTATTATGGTAACAAACCACGCCTAGAAGGGGAGTATTAGTGGGTGACCACTAAGTGTGGTGGTTTGTGTAATGTAAAATGGAAGGCAAACTGAGGCAGCATCATGGCCCAAAGCCAGGCTAAGCCCTGTGACAGTGCCCCTCTTGTGTTCACTTTCCATAAATAGTCTAAGAAACAGACTTCACTTGTGTGAATACTCAGAAAAGGTGAATTTTAAATCTAAATGGTTGAATAGTCACTGAAAGCAAATATCTGATTGTATAACTAAATTATACCATTGTTGGTCTTTACATAAATCATCCTGTCATGGAACTAGAAGTAATACCCCAGGCTTTGTGTAACTAACTAATACAGCATGAATTTCAGATTTTGAATATTCACAGTGAACTGTTTGCAAACTTCTGTGGGCCAAGAATTATTCACTGAAGCAATACATGAATAAATCTAAGGATTGCAACTTGTTTGAGCACAAAAAGGCAAAATTCCTCAAATTATTCATTATGAATTATCCATCCAGCTCTAATCAGGACAACTGATCATTTAAAAAATCAACAATGCAAATTTCAGTTAGCATAATTCTCCAAGTGCAATCATTCATGTGTTTTTATTCTTGATAAATAGGCTGAGTGTTCAGAACAGTGCTGCCTTCCCAGGAGGTATGTGTTAAATGATAAACATAAAACCAATCACTTCCAGGCTCTTCAAACCAGGAGCAAAATAGAGGAAACTTGCAGTTGTTAATCAGTACATTGGAATCGGTGCTTCAGCCTATTAATATTCACTAGTGCAATTTCAAGTGCTTTGTTTTCTGTGTTATGTGGCATTCGATGACTCCATAGAGGAGGAGATGTCTAAAATAGTTCAGATGTAACACCCCATTAGAAAGAATGTTTAGACAGACAATCTTGATAAATAAATAAATAAATAAAAAGGAATATTAAGGTTGTGCACGAACCCATGAAAGAAAGGGAATTCTTCACAACGAAACAGGCATTTATCACATATTTCCACAACATAGGGGCAAATCTTACCATTATTTCCATGCCCCTAGAAAAACCCTGCCAGAAAAGCAGTGTGATTCTGCAGGAAAAGGTTTAGGTTTAGTGAGTAGGTGGGCAAATTATTGTACTCCTTGCATGGTGTGGAGCCCTGCTCTGCAGGAGATCTTTCTCCAAGGGCTAGGAGAACCAAGCCCAGGAAAAGATCTGGGTGATGCCACAGGATCATCTGATAAGAAGATTCCTCTAGTTCTCCCCTGTTTCTCCCTACAGGACAGTCCCATAAGAGGTGTCATAGGCTACCCTAGCCCCTAGGTTACAGTAGCCTCTGTGGGAAGGTTCCATTGTCACTCCACCCTCTGAACCACAAATTCCTCCCTGTTTCCTCTCATCAGCAAAGAAGGACATCCCCTGTGCCAGCTCAGCTACATTGGCACAGTGGTTTGGGAGCAGGGCCACAGCTCTGTACTTTCCCTCACCCACTTGCTCCAGAGTGAAGTAAATAGGCATGTAGTGCCTGCTATCCGGAGTGCCTAGATCCAAGGTCTGAGTAGCTCCTCTAGTATGTTCTTATGGTCCTGCAAGAGCGTGTGGTCCATGATATAGGCCTAGCCATAAGCCATTTAGCCAATGCCATCTGGTATCTAGGATTTGAAGAAGATATAGCTTGATTTTTCACTATGTGTGCTTACTTTTAAGGGCTTGCATCAATACCGTTTCTTCCAATGTAGTGTGTATACGTGAATATTTTCAAGAGAGAGGTCTGTATTGACTTATATGACTCATTTGACTCATTGGGGCTACTTGAAAAATGTAGGTGGGTAACAAGGTAACTTCATCTAGCTTGTCTCTGGAAAACTGCAGGTTTAATGTGCAGCATACAAATTTGGTGTAGTACTGTATTTTTATTCTAATTTACAGTCACTAGCATCAAAGGGGGGAAAGAGTAAAACAGAGAGAGGAGATGAAAAAAGCGAAATTTGCATTTTCTTTCTTCCTCTTGATAATCCTTGTGTCAAAAAACACATGATATTTTTGGAGGATGGATCAGCAGTTCACACATGAAATACGGGTCCCTATTTCTTGTACATGCCATACATGTTCAAGGTTGTAGTTTTCAGCTAACCAGTTGACAGTGTGGGGTGGAGGGAACAGGAAAGGGGTGTCAAAATCACCCAGTTTGCTTTTGAAGGAGAAAGTACTGGCCCTGTCCAAAGTCACTAATTATAATAACTTAAAGCAGGTGGAGGAGTGAGCTTGAACCATTTTTCTCAATTCCCTCTCCACTCTCTTCTCACTCCTCAGTGTCAGATTCTTTAACTTTTTCCACAACTTGCTGGTAAATAGTCTGGGCTGAAATTAGGTGTACAGCAAAGGGTGTTACCATCTGCTGCATGTCACTAGTTCTTGATGGCCCAACAGCAGTTATTTTTGAGGCTGTTTATTAATTTCCAGGGGATGAGGATGAAGGGCCTCCAGTGCCACCATCAGTAGTTTTCAATATTTGCTACTTTTCTTAGGTTGACAGTCAGCATTGCCATAATGCTGTTTTTCACAAGCACGGTAACTCAGCGATGCTCATCTCAAGCACCAATAGCCGAAGAAGAGGCAGTAACATACGAATCGAGTTTAGGTTTGTTTTATGGCCAGTGTGTCTCCCTTCAATATAACTATGGATAATTTTCTCCTTTGTGATTCTTCTTTCTCTCTCTTTCATTATGTTTGGCACTTGAATCGGAGCGTGGCTGGTGAGATGAAATATCACTCAGACATGAAGCAAAATATATGCCAGTTTCAACTACAAACTTAGGCTAACAGCAAGTTGTTGATGTATAGTAGCCTAGGTAGCTTGTTGCATGCTAGAAAAGATAGCACAATCAAGCAAAATAATAGTTATAGTAATTGTGAGGGTCCCTAGATCTTTTTTGTCCTGGTATTTTTATTGTTTAAATATAAAGAAATAAAATAAGTAAAGTATTCTGATTAACACAGGCTGGATTTTCAAAGGAGTTTGAAGGAATTAGATGCCCAAATTGAACGGGATTTAGACACTTAAATCCTTTATGCTCCTTTGAAAATCCCAGTGATTTGATCTCTAGCATG